TTGGGCTTTGTTCCCTACAGAGTATATACTGACAGTTCTTGAAGTACTTCGCTGGAGTATTTCCATGTGAAGTAACTTTATGCTTCCTTTCTACTCCCAGTGGTCAATATTGTACTTTCTACTTATCTACTTTACAAATGACGATCTTGTTTTCCCTTCCGTCCAGTGAACATGATGAATTTCAAGATGTGTTGAATGTTTTTGATAATCTGAAGGATGAAGTGTTCCTTTATGTAATGAGACACCCATCTTGGATCATCTGAAAACATAAGTGACGTCACAAAGCTGAAGGTACGTTTTTCTCACCGGACAGTGACGCTACAAACATTAGGATCTAATCAGATATGATGAATAAACTACCCAACAGCATATAAAGGAGTTACAATGAGCACAACCTTAAACAACTACAGAGGTCAAATGCAACATACATGAATGCAGCAGTCATATGAATCCAGAAACACCAGATGTACACGTTAAACACTAACAGGGGACATTTACTGCCCGATGAAGACTTTTACTTTTCACACTTGTATTTTGGTTACAATACTTAGTATTGTTGAAATGCACGAGGTGGGAGAGGTACAGAGGAGTGAGCCTTGTATACAGTATCTAGGGGGGGGGGGGGTTCTGGACCAGGTGAAGTTTGTGGACAGACTTGAGAGGGAGACCAAAGAGAAGAGGTAGTAGTCGATGCGTGAGATGACCAGGGTGTGACAGTGAATTCATTAAAGTCACATTTTGATGCTTCTCAATGTTTATGCTCTATTTGTCTCCTCTTTGTTTCAGGCCGTGATTCTAAATGAATACTGATCATCGTTCTACTTGTTTGGTTATATAGAACTGCCCCCCCCCCCCCCCCCCCACAGGGGACATTTTAAGAAGTGACCCTCTGTTCTCATGTCTGGTATGTGTAAATATCCGTCTTCCAGCACCAGCCTTTTAAGTCAGAGCTACAAATACCAGAGGTTGTGTGAGTGTGTGAGTGTGTGTTTGAGAGAGTGTGTGTTTAATATCCTGTGTGTTGTGTTGTTTCAAACTGACTTTAAGAGTGGCATGTGGCAGTCACACACCAGCCACACCCCGCAGTGTGCTTTATTGAGGGGGAGATGACTAAACTCTTGGTGAAGGCAAGTACAACACATGTTCTCACGTTCCTCCAAGGTGTCTGCCCCTGCTGACAGCTTTGGTTTGAGATATCTGTCTCTGAAATATCTGCTGCCACATCAGATCTATAAGGGCCAAATTCATTTAATTTCACAGCTCTGAAACTGACATTCCCATATTTGAACCTGCAACATCTCTCCAGTGGAGAGCAGTTCCAAACAAAACCGAAACAGATTCCAAATAAAACCCATACTTTTTTCATCATACAGAAGCTGTGGGTTTGACTAGCAGAGGCCCCAAGATCCGGTTTGATCAGGGCACTAAAGTCACAAATGATTGCGATAAAATACATTGCCGTATATTCCAATGTATTACCTTCTGTTCAACTGCAAATCATGCAGTTTGCTAACTTCTGTTTGCTAAAGATAACGTTTTGGCAGCTCTCTGATTTCTTTCCCCACGTCTCCATCTATGTTTTGACTAACTTCCTGCCAATCCCCCTGACCTCATCGGGTAAAAACTCTGCACAATAATAAAAGGATTGTTACGAAAAGTTTAAATTGTATTTGCAATTATTAATAATGAATACAATAAAAGATTGATACTTGACCTCTTTGCATCAATACAATATTGCCATGCAAAACATCATGATATTATGATATTTCTTACTTTGGGAAAAACCAACTCTTTAACAGACGCTTTTGTTTTGTTTGGTTCTTCTACAAAAACAAACATTTGTAGTATTTTAATGGGATATATTGGTGTCTCTTTTTAGTAAGACTACATAAAAAGTTATGCAAACTGGAGTTAATGACTGTGAGAATGTACACACACAAACATAACAGTGATAGGGTCTCTGTGACTCCTGAGTAAACATCTATATTTGGGACTTCTCTTTGTTCAGCCCCTCTTTAGAAAGAAAAATAAACAGTCCATTCATAAGTTTTCGCTCTTTAATGAGCCCAGACTCAAGCCGACCAATCACAGAGCTGTGAATGGTGGAGCTTCACTGTACAGCATCACATGACATCATCAAATGGAGCTGCGGTCTATATGCTGCTCGGCCGCTGACGCTAATGGAGGCCGACAGCCTGAGCATGACCTACTTCTGAAGGTGGTCCTGCAGGCGGGACGGTCCCCTCCACACCAGACCCCCCCCACCCCCTGTGATGGATGCTGCAACTCTGGCTCTGTTTCATGAGAGTCAGGCTGTGACTCTCTACCGCTGGATCACTACCTGATGAAAGTTCACGGCCAGACAGACATTAATCTACCACTAAGGATTGATCTTCCTTTTCAGCTTGTTTCATTTTTTACAAAACCTGGATACCTTTAACGATGTTTCGAAGTAAAGGTCAAAATATTGAAAGGCAAATGAAAAGCACTTCCTGTCCCCTTCATCATCTGGTGATGCACAGATGTTTAAAACCATGAGTCATGCTTTTCTAGATTGTGTCTGTTTCTGGGTTTCTTTGCAGCTAAGTCGATTCTTATATAAATATTCTACCTCCTTAAAGGGACAGTTCACCTCGATATAAAAAATACAAATGTTTTCCTTCTACGCATGTGATACAATCTGTGGGTGTGGTTCGGTAGAAAGAAAAATAGATCCTGCATGAAACTGCTCACTTCAAGTTGTGTGGATTATCTTTTCAAACCAGATTCAGAATCCTTGAAAGTGAATCCTTGTTGAGTGTTTCAAATGTATATGTGTGAGGTATTGGGCACTACAAGCAGTGAGTGAGCCATCTGGCTCCGTTATGTTGGAGCCAAGGCAGACATCTCTATGTTTATTTCCAAAACTCTGTAACTCACACCAAAACAATCTCGATAACAAATAGCTCTAAGATTTGAGGGTGAACGGTCCCTTTAGGGCAGGGGTGTCAAACTCAAATACACAGTGGGCCAAAATTAAAAATGGGTACTAGTCGAGGGCCGGACTGGTTCAATGTTTATTGCAGAATTTATTGAAATGAACTTATTGCACATATTAAACCTGGGACTAACAAAGCTTAAATTATTGCCTATAAAAACAACATTAAACATTAAATCATTAGTTGCATTCATTTCTTATGGCTCTATCTGCAGCTTTTCCAGAGTCATTTCTTATGATTACATTTCTCCACAGGCTGAACAGCTTCAAAAAAACAATTTCCCTGAAAGAAAAAACCAAACATGCCCTGTTGTCGCAAGAAACAAAGTGCAGAAGGAAACATCCATGTAAACTCAGTGTGCTGCTCTGTGATGCTAGTTCAAGCCAGATACTTGGCATCTCATCTCGGGTGCAAGTTCATCAATGTTTGGGGTCAGGCTCTGAGCTGAGGAAATCCTCAGGATTGAGTGAAGGTGTGCGTGCAATATACCGGCGGGCCAGATCTAATAGTAATTAGAAATTATCCTGCGGGCCGAAATTAAATCCACCAAGGGCCTGATTTGGCCCCCGGGCCTTGAGTTTGACACATGTGCTTTAGGGTGATGTAGTTCTGACTGAAACATGGGCTTGAGTTAGCACTGCACTGACTTCAGAGGATAAGTTACTCTTTATATCTGGCAGCATAATGAGCGTTGATTTAGATTATTTATTCAAAATGAAGTTAAATAGATATTTGTGATGTATAATTACAACTACTAAGCAAATACTGTATATAGGCCAGTTAAAAGTAGCTCCATCATTACCAGCAGCAACATTAAACGGGTGAACACGTTTTTTCATCAATCATTTTTTCAAATGGACATGGTTTTAAATGGGCCAAAACTACTACTTTTGGCGCTTTGAGTATATTATTCTTAATATTTTTACTCCAGCTAACAATTTAATGCATGACTTTTACTTTAACTTCAAGTTGGTTTTGTTGACATCTAGCAGCACTCACCTGAAATGATATCTAGATGTGGTTTAGTCAGGATAATTCTAAAAAACAATTCCGATACATCAGATAAAATAACTTGTTCACCGAAAAAGATTTGTTGATTGTTCCAATTGTTGCAGTTTTACTATGATTCAGTATACTTTTATTAAAGGACTCTAATTGTGTTAATTATATACAATTCTGTCTGTTATTAATATTATTAATAAATTGCAGGTGTTCACCTTAATTTCATATTTTATGGAATGGAAAATAAATCCCAAAACACAGCAGCATGGATTGCATAATGTTAAGTTATGTTGTAAAGTTTAATATATTTTAGAATAAATCGAGATGGCTGTTTAAGGCAGATTTCGCAATAAACTGTCCTGATTTAAAAAAATGGTCTTAAATAAAATGGATTTAGAAACTTGCCTGCGTTTCATGTCATCTCAATTGTTTCAGGGCAACTCTCTCATTAATCTGGAACAAAGACAATGTTGAAAATGTAAATGTAATACAAACAATGACACACACACTGTGTATTGATTAATTGTCTCAGAAGCTCATGTTCAAATATTGTATGAATATTCATGAGCTGTCTGGGCCTATAGAAGCTACTGGAGACAGGTGTGTCAAGTACACAGATTCACAGCGCAACTCAAGCGGGGCTCCCTTCAAAATAAAATCTCATAACTTCGGGAGCGAATTACCAGAATAAAACAATTGCCCAATACATCTCCAATTAACTTTTGCAATTGATCATTAAAGTGAAATGAATCAACCCTATTCACAATGGTGGACATTAAGGACTTTGCAATAATGTATTTATTTTGTTTGTTTATTTGTGAGAAAATATCAAATTAATACTAATAACTTTGTGTAAGAGAGGAAGAAAAAAGTGCCCTTTGCTTTAGTGGCAAAACAAATACAAAGGTTTTTGTGGAAGTTGCCGGTGGTGTGGGAACTCTTTGAACTCTACTTTGAAAGGGTAAACCGGAAGTGGCGTCGCTCAGTGCGGCAGCTTGTCGGTGCCTGCAGCCTGTAGGAGCGGCCGGTTCCTCCCAGCACCCTCACGGTTCAGAGGGAAAGCTTTTCTTCTCACAGCAGCAGCGGGGATTTTTCGGACTGCACACGCCGGATATTCATCACACCAAAAAACGCACTCACGACTGAACGCGACGAGAGCAGAAGGACACTTTCCCGGGTCGTGTATCCCTCCACGTCCCACCTCTCAGCTTTAGGCCACCGTTTCTTTCTTTAATTTCTATACAAAATATTTCTTCGTACGTTGTCCCCCTCCCGACTGGCTCTCAGTGGCGCACTCAGCTCTCTTTTGCTGACATGGTAGATTATCACGCTGCTAATAATCAATCCTCGACCGAGGGTGTGCAGATATACATGGAGCAAGAGAATGATTGGGACCGGGACCTGCTCCTGGACCCGGCCTGGGAGAAACAGCAGAGAAAGGTAAGGAACCAAAGTCGGGCCCAGCTGGGCCGAGTGGAGCCGGGCTGAGAGGAGGCGGTGTCGGCGGGTAGAAAGAAAATGGCAGGGAGGGATGTGATGGGGAGAGGAGGTCAGATGCAGAGCGGGCCTCGGGTTCGTTTGAAGCCCGCAGCTGCTCCTAGAGCCCCGCTTCACACCCACCACACTGCTCTCAGCTCGGCTTCTCAATGTCAAGTTCTTCATTTCCCTCTTAATAAATGTTCCTATTACTTCTGTGAATCAGTAGTGCTCGGTGTGTGTGTAAGTGTCCAACATAAGCTTTCACTCTTTAGAAAGGTTGTTTTTCCCTCCGCGAGAGGAAACGGGGCGCCACATTGTTGTAAAAAAATAAAATCAAACGTGTGATTGTGCAGACCTGCGAGGCTTTAAATAGAAAGGGGAATGGTGTTATCTGGGCGTCCTGTCCCACTGGCAGGGTGGAGGCCGATAAGACTGACGGAGTTTCAGCTGCTGACCGATACCAGGCCGATGCTCCGATAATGTAACTCTGCTGTGGTTCATTATGTCTCCACATTGTATCTTTTTTATACACTGAGAGAAAGCAGTGATTATTGGGCAGTGATTACATTCATAGCAGGCAGTTTTATTATAACCCATGGCCTGCTGGTGATATTCTTCCCATGGTTAGCAACTTGTTTAGCAATGATTCCAAATTATAAATGAAAGTTAAATAGACTGTTTACATATTTAGAACATACAGAGTTGTTAATGAATATGACCTGTGGCACAGACTGCTTTTCTGACAGGTCAGGTTTAACATCACCTCCATGTTAAAGCTAGGAGCATTGGTAAGCTATGTGGAGACACCCATTGTACGTGCAGACTGTTACATGGTGTGTGTGCCAATCACACCTCAATTCATATTCTTCCCGCAGCCCTGGGACATATTCGTTTCTGTGTCCCCACTCACTTCACTGCAAAGAGCTAAACGCCCACTAGCTGTGCTGCACATTTTGGCTTCAGTTATATTCTGCATACATACTCAGATACCGATATGAAACCTCTCGTATGGTACACCTGGCCCTGCACCCCCCTGCTTTTTGGCCTAATGCAACACCAATTGTCTAAATAACCTGATTATCATCTCCTTAAGAAATCTACATTTCCACTGTGCCTTTTTTACTTGTCTAAAACAAGCAGCACCTACTCCTACTCTACCTCCCCCACCTTCATCAACTCTCCATCCAATTTCTCCTCATCCTCTAATTCTGTGTCGACATGCTTTCCAATAGATGCCACTGAGTCAGAATCAATGCTAATGTTCCTTGACATACTTTGCAGACTTTCCCCTATGATGGCTAGTAACCTTGCTAGTAACCTAGCCTTGCTGTATGATCGTATCTCAAAATAAAGACCCAGTGAAGCACTGATATATTGGGTAACGGAGGATGCAGTTCTGATCATTTTAACGTCACTTGTGACACTCAACCTCTCCTTAGGGAGTGGAGAGGCAGTATAATGATGGATGATTTCAAGAACCATTGCTTAAGCAAGAGGAATGATTGAGTGGGTGTGTTTTTATTTGTGTGTAGAGCTAACCAGGCTACGCGCCCTTTCTTATCCTCTTACTAGCCAAATGACTGGCATACTTTCTAGTGGTGTGACAGCATGCCGAGCATAGAATCGTGCATTTTTATTAGGCTACTCAGCATTTTAGCCATCACCATCAAGCATTCCTGCTGATGATTAGCATCACGCCCTGCAGGTTAACCTTGCTGTTAACTAAAAGTGGTTAGATGACTGCGAGGACTCTGCATATTTGCAGAGAGATCACACAGGTCAAAGTTTGCTCAAACGGAACATCTAACCTACCAATCATTAACAGACTGAGGCTTGTTGTGCAAACCGGGGGTGAGGTCCACTCCTGAACCTGCAGTCCTCAGTGAGGCTGGTAGGTGTGTGTTGGCCGGGAACAGGACGGCCTGGGGACATGTCCCCCTGCCAAGCCTGAGTTCTGCTGGCCCCGGAGAGGCGGGGGAACCGAGGGTCAAATTCCTGCGGTGTATTCACGCTCACTGTGCCAGTTATTGCGCAAAAGTGAGCAAATGCCTCCCGCAGGAATATCAAGTGAGAAGTGGATATAATGAGTGTGGGAATGGATTTGTCCTTGTAGTCTGTGAGGGGGGGGACTTGAGGTCAAAAGCAGGAGCCGTTTGACGGATGCACAGTTTACCGTCATGCTGACTCTTCACATTTACCATGTAGAGTAAAACAAGAGGGGGAATAAGGCAGCAATGCTTAGGATTGTTTTGGGCATTCTTGCCTGTATTTGATGTCCAGGGTTAAGCAGGAGAGACATCATTCTGTATGAGGAGTCAAAGAAATGGAATGTGTCTGTTCACATTCAAACAGCACCTTATCTAATGCTATGAGGATCAGGACTTTATCTGTTTGTGTTCAAATGCTACAGCACAGACCTCTATAGATAGATGGATAGATACTTTATTCATCCCACATCGGGACATTATATTGTCACAGCAGCAGTGTTGAAAAGCATTACATAAGTTACACATATAATATCTAATATGTAATATAACATTAGCAACAAGTTTGTACAAATTCACTATAGAAAAGACATGTATCTCTAGAGTATCTAAATAATACACAATACAACAACAATATTGAATAAATTGAATACTCTACAATATAGAATCTCACTAAGCTTCAGAAATATACTACAGACTCGTATAGCGAAGACACATTGTCCAACGTGTTCGCCCTGCTGATCAGAGAATCACTGTGCTAAAGGATAACTTGATTTGTGAGTCTCTTGGGATGTTGGTGTACATTGTAAGTCTGTGTTTCTTTGGCAGAAGCTGAGGTTTGGTACATTTCTCAACATTTCTCAACATTTCTCAACATTTCTCAACACCACAGAGTACCCGGACTGAGCCCAGCTGAGTCCAGTTGGCTGCACTCTGTTACAGACCAGGCTCCTCACTGACAAACATGTTATTAAGTCTTTCTCACCAACACAGGCTGAAACATGTTGAAGTATGCAGTGACGCCAACGCAGGTTTTATTGTATCTCTCGCACCGTGTGCAGGCCAGGCGGTACATGCAAATCTCAGCGACAGTTAGGCAGCACATATTTCTGCTGTCATGAGGCAGGGCGAAAGTACAGATAGGTGGGCGGGTGAGGAAACGAGGAAAACTGCAAAGTGCACAAGCCAAATGGCCCTGAGCAGTCAGGATCACTGCTGAGTGATTGTTCTTATTTGTCAAGGATGTTCTTTTGAAACTAATTAGCACTTTTCCCACTGTTCCCCTCTGACTGTAGTGTGAATATTTTGTGTGCTCACCATGTGTCGTTCAATTCTAGAGCACTTTTCGTAAAACAAATCTGATGTGCGAAAGAAAGCGAAATAATTGACTCATGTCACAGCTTCAATGATTTGATTCCCTTCCGTCAGCTGGTGTCAGGAGTGTGTAGCACTGATCCTGAACATTTCCTCTCATAAATCAGCTGATTTGCAGCGGCAGAATCAGTTATGGTCAGTGACTGTGATGTTTATCAGTCTTCATTTTCCTATACTGTCAGCCTGTGTGCACAGATGTGATTTGGAGCAGCTGAACACACTTTACAGTTGAATGCTGTAACTGATGGAAAGATTGGGAAGAAAAGTAACTCTGTCCATCAAAGCACTTTCTTTAAATAAACTGAAATATGTCACTCAAGGATATCACCTTTTTTTAGTATCATATTGAATGATTCCATAGTGTGTCCTTGCTCACAGAGGCAGCAACTTGAATGTGTTTGCAGCCAGCCTCCTCTGTCACACCCTACCCCTAAACAACACACACTGATTTCTTTTTTCCCGTCACTGCCAAGGTGGGCAGCTGGACACAATGTTAGCTTGTTCTTTTCCCACCCACTTTCACATGCTTTCTGTGTGAGTGGCTAGCAGCAGACGGGCAGAGCTAATCAGATGGCCCTGGTTGGATCAGGACTAGTTGTGACTGACATTTTGTCATCTGGCTGCATTATAAGCTGCCAGGCTACTTATTTTTTTAACTTTCTGCCTCCCTTCCTGTTCCTAAAACAACATTTCAAAAGAATGAAGGGGGCTGAAAGCTAAATAGCCTGCTCACTAAACAATAGACAATGCTGTTTGTAGGGAATAAAAGGGGCAGACGCCTTAATTGGTTGTTGGTCTTTTTGTGTGTGTGTGTGTGTGTGTGTGTGTGTGATTGGCTGGTTCAGTGCAGCATGAACAACCTGACTGGGGTGTTGCAGAGGCTTGAGGAATCCGAGCTGTTATCATTCTGGGCTGAGGAGTGGTTATCTGTTGTCTCGGCCTCAGGTGAGCTGCAGGCCATCTAATCCTTATCTCACACACTGATGTGTATGCATTGTGTGGCAGCCTCTGAGAATTCATTATCTGGGCAAGCAGGACCATCTCCCGCTCTATGTACTACAAATAAAGCCCGAGGATGAAGTTAAATCTTTTTCATGATTTTGGCTGAAAAAGAATCAATTCCGACACCAGATTTTGCTTTGGAAAACCGTTGATGGGAATCCTTCTTTCTCCTCTATTTTCAATTATTCTTATTCTTTTTAGTAAACAATCAAGTAATCATAACAAAATAACAAAGAAATCTCAACTACAGCCAACGTCGTGATGATCTAACTTCCAGGGTCTCTTCCTGCTTTACAAGAATACAAGTGAAGGGGAGACACTACTTCCTCTTCCAACACACTTAGAGGAGTTTACTAAGTAGTGAGTGTCTGTAGGCATTTAGGCCGTGAGCTACACTGCCAGCTGATTCCAGGTCAGCTGTGGGAAAGCCCTCAGCCTCAGCTGATCCAGAGTTTGCCTGTGGAGCTGGACAAGGAGCAGGCAGTGAAGCAGACAGCCAGCGAGGGGACAGAGCAGAGAGGAATGCAGCCTCCCTGTTCCCCCTCTGTCTTTCTCTCAGCTCTGCCAATAGCGGCGGTGAGAGAGCATGCAGGGGGAAAC